TCGACCAAAATTCAAGAAAATCTAACCTAATTTAGTCCAAATAAAGTGAGCAATATGCGGCAAGATTGAGCTAACTTTAGATTGAAGCTCAATTTAACATCTATTTCTTCAGTTTTCTTTTGACTGAACATTTTTGACAGCATATGCTAATCGAACATGTTGAATCGTTTTTGAAAATTTGGATCAAATCCAATCCGTCCAAATTCATCAATCCGTTCAAAATGAAGTTGCATGTATTTGAATTGATCTTGAGAGCCACCATGAATTAATAAATATACAGGACCACGGGAACCATGATTCCAAACTGAGAAATGACGATAGGCAGAACGACTTATTAACGAGAGCTGGCCTTGATCTAACATAAATAAGGACGAAGGAAGTCATCAGCCCCTGCTAGTGCCGTATCCGCCACATTGATGCAGTTAGAAGTAAATTGCTGATCACCTCTCACACATTCATATCAGAGAAGCTTCTCACGAGGAGCTTTTACAGCATTCATCTTCTGTAATTCTTTCACCAAGCTGGGGAAAGGAACAAATATGAATAAGTACCAATATAACTAATAATATTCAGTCCATAAAAATGACATCTAAATTAGAAATAAAATTTAAAGATGTAACTGGATAAAGGTATAGCTCCAGTCATTGAATAAATGGCCCTCTTCCATGATGATGGTGAAGAGTAACTTACATACACAGAATGAACATAATCATCCATAATAATCAATCATAGATCCAAGGTCCAAGCTATTGTTGCTAGATCATTACATAAGCTAATCACTATCATCAAAGCCTTAATCACATAATTTAGTTTACTGATTATTATCTATGAACAACAGCATTAAGCAGTTGCAATATTTTTGCAACTGCAAATCCAGCATAAAATACATTTATAGAAAAATACAGAACAAAATTTATAAGATTTCCCTCATACCATCGAGGTTTGCCAAAAAAAAAAAATCATATTTAAACTCAAAATAAGATGGCCTGGAAAATGCATGCAGCTAGACATTGCCCTTTTTTTTAAGCCAAAGTAATGGTGCATCTAACGTCTATCATAATAGTCTGATTGATGGGGTGAATTAGCATACCCCATCTTTGTAATTCATCTAGTGTTTTCAAAATTCGCCTATTCTAACATAATATCATTTTGTTATCAAGTTTTGACGGCCAGGTTTGGAAATCTAAAATTGGAACTACAAAAACGGGGACCGTCTTCCCTCAAGGTTTTTTCTTTAATTCTAGAACCTATATTTCACTTGTCGAGACATCACATTCGTTCACATTCTATAATATTTATTTATTAAGTTCACAATTTAAATGGAACAAAAGGCAATCATAATATAGCATTAAAATGCTCATTACACCACCACCATCACGTCAACAACACTTAAAACTATGCCTGGTCCTACAATAAGCAGTGTAGATGAATTTCATCCAGACAAAATAAACTTCCCACAATAAGAAGGTCAGTACCATACCAGCCATGAAGCTTCATTTGAAGTACCACCGGTATATCCAATGCTCAGCCTCAAGAAGTTTGCAGCAGGCATATTCTCTCTAGATTCCTGATCATCTTCAAATCCTCATGAGTTGAAGAAACGTCCGGAAAACAGCTTGTCATGACATACTGCTCAACCCCTGCAGCATATGGCAAAGTGATGAACACTAGCATATTGTGTATGAGATGGTAAATTTCTAGAAAATTTTTAAAAACAAACTTGGAGAGGTTCATGATATTTTCAAAACTTTTGAGAAGGTCAATTAATTTTCACACCGTTAGCATTATTTGAATTTTCCATAGTTTAAGTTACACAGCCAGTCAGGTGACACTATATATACTAAACTAATGTAGCGTTAGAATTCATATTCATTACCTGGTTTCATGTTAATTTTCCCATGGTTATACATTCCGCTAATTTTTTGTCACATGCTACATACTAAAACACAAATAAAATTATAATCATCATGACCTGATAAATATAAAGTCTATCATTACCCAATGTACCAAATTATGAAAACCTGACCCGCTTAGTTACTGTGTCACATCCATTACACTTAATTAGGTTACTCTTGAACCAGAACATACTTAAATTCCATATCATTCAATATTTTCAAAACTATTAAACACGACCAGCCTAGTATTTTTGTCACACTGATATATTACTAAAAACACACTTGAGTTATACATTATATCTCATACTGAAAAAATATCAAAACCATGGGCAAGTTTTTAAGTTAACCAGTACCTCCATGCAGAGTCAATTTCTCCTCGGTAGCACCAACCCACAAGGGATGATCTCTAATAGCACATTCCATTGTGAGGTAGAACTCCGTACTCTCTTCCCATCATTCTCAGGATTTGCAGTATAAAACGAAAACGAAACTATGAAGCTGAAATGAACATCAACTCAATTAGATAAACCAAACCTAAATCACATGAAGCAAGTTTGCAACGGTGCAACGGTTGAGTCTATCAATATCACTGTACCTATGTTTTCGTTACTACATGTATATTTAGTATTAAAAACATCTCCCCAACAACGGGTTTCTTTTTCCCCAAAAAATTATCAGAACTTGTACACTAAATATCTAGCTTAGCAACATTACCGCAAAAAATCTCTCAAACAAGGGTTTGCTACCGTACTGGACCGTTATGTTCGTATCCATGTTCGCAAATTTTCAGTATTGTACCCCAAATTGTACAAAGACCCACAGAAACCTTGTTACTTAGTAACCAACTACACACGACAACTACGACACTGGTACCTGTTTGCTACTGACTGGACCTTCCGTAACCGTATCTAAATTTGGAAATTTTCCTGCAGTGTAGCAACAAAATTGATAGACCACCAAAACATCGTTACTCACTATCAAACTATCACCCGGTAAACCCCACCGGTACCGACCCCATTCCACACACAATCAAACAAATGAACTAAATTAAACAAAAAAAAAAAAAAAACCTCATAAATAAACAATTAAACAAACCCAAATTCACAAAATTAAATAAAAAGTAAAATGAGATGAAACAGCGAGACCTTTTGATGATCGAACGAGATCGAGGGAAGCTGGGTTTCGCATGCGATCGAGAAAGTTAGAAGTGAGGATTGAACGGAGGATGGCGATGAATGGTCCACTGGGAAAGCGAGTTGTTTAGTGGGCTGGGAGAATTGTGGAAATAGAAGAAGAAGAGAAGAAGAAGCCATTAGAAAAAGATAAAAGGAGAGTATTTATTAAGAGATGGGTGAGTTTAGATCATTTCGGGAATTCTAAGATTTGATTTTTTTTCAATAGAGAAGACCGTAGGTTGTGCATGGATGTAATGTGATTACTCTCTCAACAAGAGCGTCAAATTTCGGGTCGATATGACGGGTCGGGTTTTATTCGATAGACATTAAAATTATGTCTAAAGAGATTTTATAATTACTCAAATAACAAAATAATCATGAGTAAGAATAACAAAATAAATAATAAATTTATTAAATAATCTGAGAACTCTAGAATTGATTTTAAAAAAGTATCTTTAGAGGGATGTAATAAGCCCGCCTTATCATGGTCTTGACTCCGTTATTTTATACTAAAAAAAAAAAAATGTTCATAAATCAACAATAAACATTAAAATTCAAAAATACTACTAAAATATTGATTGAAATAAAAACTCTCAATGATTAAACCCCAAAAAGTGTATGTTTTTGAAATATTTAATAAAAATATATCCCTCCCCATTACAAAATACAAAATAAAAAATATATAGAGACTTTATAACTCAATGCATGTGACCTAATGCCTTTTGTTTTGGGCTATGAACATATAATTTCAATAGTAGCTGTTATGTGGTTTGACACTTTAATTGCGCTTATGTGTCTCTTGGATTTTGTAAGTGCTTTAGAAATATTTGATTAAGAACTACTACTGAATAGTCTGATAAAAGAGTGAAATGAGGTTTTATGAATTTTTAAAGTTCAAATCCCCACAAGCCTTAATAGGGGTGACCATTAAAAGGCTTACGTAATCGTTCAACTTTAGGGTCTCAAAGAATTAGTTAAGATGCGCACAAACTGATTTTCTAATATCAATATTATCTCGTCATAAGCAGGGTCAGCCCAAGGGGTAGGCAGGTGAGGTGAGGCACCTGCCTAGGACCCCCAAAATAAAAGCCCCAAAAATCTCTCTTGAACTTTTGGAGATCATCAGGAGAAGTTCTCTTCTTGAATCTTTTCCGAAGACGGCTTGCTGGATAAGATAATCCCATGTGCTTACCAAATGAATTTCTTACTAAAAATCTTTTCCAAGTTGCATTTTTTGTTGTTGCTTTGCCTGATTGCAACCCAAATATTAATGTCTATCCCTTGAAAATTCACACTTAGTGCACGAAAGACAAGGGAAGCCTATTGTCCCTTTATTTGATACAAAATCTATTCATTCACCATAGCACCGTGAACTTATTGCAATATTTATCGCAACATGGGTTACAAATTATAATAGGTCTCATTAATGCTCTGTTATGTTCACAACATTAATCATCATACGAACTAACAAAGATTTATGAGGATTGAAATGTCACTTTCGCATTTCGTTGGAGCCAAATTTTTTTCCCAAACCTAAGCGACGTATCTGTTATTATCCTAGAGATTCCATAATCTATTTACGATTTGAAACAGACGGTGGAGTTACACAACAAAATAAAGCTCTAAAGGAACCAAATTATCATAATATCAAATACACCCCCTTATTTGTGAATTAGTATATAAACATACATTTAAAATGGGATGATAATAAATGAACCAATTTTTTAACCTTAAAAGCAAAAAGAATATTAATTTTTATATACTTAAGAAATTTTAAATTAATAATAATAAAAAAAATTAACTAGTGTTGTTCATTTTCTTGCATAAACTTCTAACTTGTGTATTACAATTTCCAAACAATAATATTTTCTAGTGGTTTTCTACATTAATTTTTATTTTATGGTCAAGGATATAGTCCTCTTTTCACCCTTTACATTTCCTCCTCTTTGAACAAGTCCAATAGTGCAAGTGCCTGCAATATATCCAATTGAAACATTAATCAATAATATTATAAGACCAAAATATATTTATCCACAACCAAATCCTAAAGTTTGACTCCATCCAACGAATATCAATCATTCGATTGACATTCAAAATTTGTGAAATGCTAAGTATTGTCTTTTTTTCACTTTCTCACTCTCCTTTTAACACATATACAACAGACAATATAGCAAAGACAAAAATATTTTTCGCATTTCTCTTAAAATATCGCAAAGTGTACAGTAATAAAAACAAAAACAAAAACAAAAAACAAAAGCAAAGTGTACCTCTGGAACAGAAAGCTGCAAGTGAAATTTTGGGCCGTCATAGTGATATAAAATGGGCCTAAAAGCATCTTCTTCCAGTGGTTTGTATTTCTTCTTCATTCTAATTCTAACCTGAAACTAATTAATCATTATTAATTACTCTAACTTAGAGTAATAATAATTAAGAATTTAAATTACCTGGGCTGGAAATCTCGATTCTCCTCTGCACTTCTTATCTTCCCATGCCGTTGGGTCAATGTTTGACCCTCCAAAACTTACAGNAAACTAATCAACAGCAATAAGAAAGCATAACCAGCATTGCAAATTACATGTTTGGATTCCTGTATTTGTGCTTATTGTTGATGGTACGTGTAAAAGGTTTCAGTGAATAGTACCGTTTGGAGCCTGTTGAATGGTGTTTGGAGCAGGTTGAGTAGTGTTTGGAGACGGCTGAGCAGTAGTAGTGTTGGGAGTGGGTGCTGTTGTAGGAGCCATTCCAGGCTGGATTGATCTTACAAACTGGCATTCAGTATCGTTGGCATAGGTGTCGCAGTAGTTGTAAATCATGTGCTTCACTTGCACCCTGTGAAGATCTATTTTTTCTTGGTCAGTAAATCCTATTTTCTCGCCTGCATAAGGCGTTATTTTGAGATTCCTGTAGTAGGCAGTGAAAGGAGCCTTTGTCCAATCGGTCTTCTCCAGCCCTTTTTTTGTAGCCCATTGGTCAGCATTCCAGAGACTGGCATAAAGCCTCATGGCTTGTTTTGTTGGGAATGGAACTCCCAGTCTTTCCAGGTTCTCGTGCACCCTTATAAGCTTTCCATCCACCATGAACCTACACTTATTTTCAATATTAATTATTAGAAACGAAACGACTATGTTTTCATTACAGACAATTCGGTATAATATAATTAATGAGAGTTGTTTACAAGATCTGTTCAGGATTCCAAACGATAGAGTAATTGTGGAAGTCCTTTGTGCGATCAAACCAGAGATTGAAACCTTGTTCTCTCCTGCCTTGTCCCTGTGCATACACATTGGTATGCATTGTATATGGATCCCCACTTGTGTTGCCCAAGAACTCAATATCAATCTCATCGTGAGTTGGTCCTTCTGGTGAAGTTAGCTGCATAAAAACTTAATTAAGTCAGCCATTAATATAATATATAAAACTTTGATCAAGGTTGAAACTTACATAGAATGTGGTTACGGTGCCAGCTGAATTGTCAGGCACTAGTTTCATTTCCGCTTCAAATCTTGCAAAGATGAATTCATTCTTACTCCTAAAGCCAGAGCCAGAAGTTTTGTCCAGAGTAAGAGAAAGGGTTTGGCCTCCATCCATTATCTTAGCACGACCTTCACCAAATGTAATGTCGACGTCGGCGTTAAAGTTACCCTCTGAGACTGCCATCAGACTACATATTACCAAGGGAATCAGCACCATTGATGGTAGCCTCAGCGAAGTCGACGACATTTCTTTTGGTTTTATTTTGCTGATGATAAAAACTCAACTTCATTCAAATTCTTTGTGTAATCATAACTGAGAACCCTTTATATATTGGTATATGTTTTAATTTTTCCAAGCAGGGAGTACACTCAAATTAGTTATTGAATATGTCAAACGTGTCAAATACAAAATAGCCTCAGAAATGAGAGAGATAGATGCAGTTCCAAATTGATTTGTATGGCAGATTTTGGCAGAGCTATTTCAAGAAAGAGGGATTATTGGGTTGTTCCTATGTTATTGGATATCCAAGACAAAGTACAAGAAATCCTCTAGTATGAGACACGGCTTATTTGTTTATTAACATTGACCCTGCCAAATTAGTATGATAAAAAATTGAAGTTGTTAAGGCTTAAAAGCAGTTTTTGAGTGTATGTGTTTTCTCATTAATAAATCCCAATATTAGTAATTGATATAGACATTAGACAATATATATCTGCATATTTATTAAGAGATATATACATACAAAATATTAAATATTATATCTAATTTTAAGAGTTACCTTATAATTTAATGACCATATCTTATGAATATTTTTGTCTTGAGAGTTAACTTTACAGATTGAATCATAAACAAAAAGCTTATATATATATATATAACTCCTCTTGGTTGATCGACACATGACACATTTTGGAAGCTCTAAAATTATTCTATTTTGACACATAGGATTTGTAGTTGTCATGTGATTGAATTTTATTGGTGATTGAATTTTATTGGTGATGATGTGGACATATATTAATTGTTGCATTGATATTCCAAATCCAAAGTAAAAATATAATTATTTGAGTGACACGTAGGACACTTTTTTTTTTTTTTTTAAGCTCTAAAATTGCTTTATTTTAAAGCTCTAGAATTACTCACTCTTGCCACGTTAGATGTGTGGTTTAATGAAATGTTAATGCACTGCATTGATATTGCAACTGTTCATATCAACCCAAACTTTTCTCGATTAGGTTTAATGAGATATTAATGCACTGCATTGGTATTCCAAACGTTCATATCATTCAGGATTGCTATTAATAATTATATAGATGCATTGTATTGACATTGCAAACATTTTTTCGTATGCAGTTCGTATTTAATTGTGTTGGCATTCGAAAAGTTTAAATAAGGGGTTATAAAAGGGGCATATGTTCAGTTGTGTATTATCGCAATATGTTAATTGGTGTCAACAATACATCTGGTCTTTTGTTAATTGTTTATAGGTCATGTTAGTTTGTGTCAATAATATGTCTGTTCTTCATGATTTTGTTCATCGATGATTTATTTATGTTTTTGTTATTTACAGGTCAAAAATTCATGAATTGACATGAAATAAAGGCAGGATGTCCAATTGACATTGTCAAATGAGTTGTTATTTTGATTCGTTCTTCTAAACTATAAGTATATCTTCTAATTATTTTAATATAAAACTGTAAGTATATCTCCTAACTATTTTAACAGTTATTATTTGATTGAATGATTGTTTTTATTCGGTCAATCTATTTAAATGATTAATTGTGTTAATCCTGTCAAACGGTAAGTATATTCCTTTAAAAGTTTAATATGAATATTAATTAACTTTTGTTGATTTCGTTTTCAGGTAACAATTATTATACGAATGAATGATTGTTCCCTAACAATCTTAACATGAAGATCAATTAAATTTTGTTATGTTTGTTTTCAAGGAAATGTTTATGTACTTTACTAAGATCAAATCGAAGATGATCCTATTATCAGCCGAACTGTGAGTATGTGTCATATCTATATTAGTAGAAACAGTTCATTTGTGTTGAATATGTTTTATGTAAAAACGTTCATGTATTTTAATTTGTAATATAAATGATTAATTGTTTATGTCTTGCTGGTGTGCGAGTATATATGTTAAATGAATTAATTTTGGCTGATTCTGTTTTCCAATTAATAGGTGTTATTTGAAATATTTCTTATTAGTCCTAATATGATAATCCATTAAATTTGGGTTAAGTAAACCATTCATTTTATCATCACATGTATTTCAGTTTCCACTGAACAATCAGTGGTAAATTGACAATAACTTGCTCAATAAAAATTCAATTGATGAGAGGATTGAATATTTAGAAACTATATAGACAATGTTTTAATTATATATATATATCCAAATTAATATATATATATATATATTATATTATTATATATATATATAAGTATATATATATATATATATTAATTTGGATAACTGTAGCCCCATTGCCCGAACCATTCATTTTATCATCGCACACATTTCGGCTTCCACTGAACAATTAATAGTAAATTGACTATAACTTGCTCAATAAAAATCCAATTGATAAGAGGTTTGAATCTTTAGAAACCAGACAAACAAGGCTTTAAATTTATATATTATACGCTTAATTTGGATAATTGTAGCCCCACTTCCAAACCATTCCTTTTATCATCACACACATTATGTTTCCCCTGTTTCTCAATTTCTACTAAACAATCATTGTAAATTAGCTATAACTTGCTCAATAAAAATCTAATTGATGAGCGGTTTGAATCTTTGAAAACTAGACAAATATAGCTTTAATTTTTTATATTATACGCTTAATTTGGATAATGGTAGCCCCACTGGCGAACCATTCATTTTATCATCACACACATTTCAGTTTCCACTAAACAGTCACTAGCAAATTGACCATAACTTGCTCAATAAAACTCCAATTAATGAGAGGTTTGAATATTTATAAACTATATAGATAGCGATTTAATTTGATCTATTATACGCTTAATTTGGATAATTGTATCCCCGCCATCGAACCATGCCTTTTATCATCACACATTTCGGTTTCCATTGAACAGTCAGTAGTAAATTGACCACAATTTGCTTAATAAAACTCTAATTGATGAGAGGTTTGGATCTTTAGAAACTAGACAGATAAGGCTATAATTTGATATAATATATGCTTAATTTGGATAAATGTACCCCCACTTCCGAACCATTCCTTTTATCACCACACACATTTCAGTTTCTCCTATTTCTCGATTTTCACTAAATAGTTAGTAGTAAATTAATCATAACTTACTCTAAAAAAAATATATATATCTAATTAATGAGCGGTTTGAATCTTTGGAAACTAGAAAGATAGAGCTTTAATTTGATATATTATATGATGAATTTAGATAACTATAGACCTCTTGCCGAATCATTCATTTTATCATCACACAAAAAATCAATTCAATTTTAGTGATGACAAAGGAAAACAAGTATTGATATGTAGTCTTAATTGTATTTGTTCTACCTCTTTTTGTTGATATTTTTTTAAGTTACATACATATATCGAAACAGGTTGTTGTTGAATATAACAAATTTTATTTGTATTAACCATGTAGCTTTAGTAAACCATTTGTTATATGTTAAACCATCATTATTATCCTTAAAGGAAAACAAATACTAATATGTAGTTTTAATTGTAATTGTTCTATCTCTTTTTGTTGATATCTTTTTATGTTACATACATATATCATGAAAAGAGTTTATTGCTGAATATAACTAATTTCATTTATTTAACAAATATCAACTAATGTTTGATGCCAAACCATGTAGCTTTAACAAACCATTCATTTTATCATCACATACATTTAGGTTTTCACTGAAAAATTAGTAGTAAATTAACTATAACTTACTCAATAAAACTTCAATTGATAAGAGGATTAAATCCTTAGAAACTAGACAGACAGAGCTTTAATTTGATATATTATACGCTTAATTTGGATAACTGTAGCCCCACTTTCGAACTATTCCTTTTATCATCACATATATTTCGGTTTCCACTAAACAGTTAGTGGTAAATTGACTATAACTTTCTCAATAAAAATCCAATTGATGAGAGGTTTGAATCTTTAGAAACTAGACAGACATGACTTTAATTTGACATATTATATGCTTAATTTAGATAACTTTAGCCCTATTTCCAAATCATTCCTTTTATCATCACACATATTTTAGTTTTCACTTAACAGTCAGTAGTAAATTAATCATAACTTGCTCAGTAAAAATCCAATTGATAAGATGTTTAAATCTTTAGAAACTAGACAAACATGACTTTAATTTGATATTATATGCTTAATTTGGATGACTGTAGCCCTACTGTCGAACCATCCCTTTTATCATCACACACATTTTAGTTTTTCATGTTTCTCGATTTCCACTAAACAATTAGTGGTAAATTAGTCATAACTTGCTCAATAAAAATCCAATTGATGAGCCGATTGAATTTTTGAAAACTAGAAAGATAGCGTTTTAATTTTATATATATATACGATGAATTTGAATAACTATTGACCTACTGCCGAACCATTCAATTTATCATCACACACATAAAACAAACTCAATTTTAGTGATGACAAAGAAAAACAAATTTTTATATGTAGTTTTAATTATATTCGTTATATCTCTTTTTGTTGATTTTTGGATTGATTTTGTTATTTGATTTGTAGGTTTTGTAGGTTTTACAATTTTCGTCTTTCTTTAGGATGCTATCATTAAATGTTTTTTTTTTTATATCCCTCTTGGTTGTTTGACACGTACCACATTTTAGAACTCATTTTGGGGCCGTAAAATTGTTCCATTTGGACATATTGGATTGACAAGTAGGATTTGTGGTTTCATAAGCCCAACCAAATTGCTTTATCTTGACACGTTGGGTTTGTATTTATTGCTCCATCTACAATTGATAATTAATAAAAATTAGTGGATTTGTATTAATAATACAGATGCATTTCATTGACATTCCAAAGTTGTAACCATTTTGATGCGTTTGATGTGCAGTAATGACAAGTATACGAGTGCATTGGATTGCTATTAATAATTGTGGTTTAAAGACATCTGTCTAGGATTACTATTAATAATTACATAGGTGTATTGTATAGACATTGCAAACATTTCTTCGTATTCAATTCGAATTTAATTGCGTTGGCATTCGAAAGGTCTAAATAAGGGGTTATAAAAGGGA